AGCGAGGCTGTGGGGAACAGAGGAGATAACATGCAGGTGCAATCAGTAAGATTCAGATTAAAGGAAACTCTTCATGGCCACCCAATGTCTTAAGCAAAAGCTGGAGAAGAAACGTACGGATTTCCTATCGAAACCTAACAATCAGTTGCAATGTGTAGCCTTTGTTTAAATCCCACGTCAGAAGGCAAATACTTTTTAGGACAAATGTGGAACAGGAAACACTGGATATTTGCTGATACTGGGAATTATTGTTGGTTGGGAGAGATGTTGATAATGGTATGATGATTATGTTTTAAAACGTGAGTCTTCAGAAGGCTACTACCTTTTTTCCGCCTAAGATTTTATTTGTTTGACAGAGAGAGCGCGCGCGCGCTAGCACGCAGAAGCAGGGGGAGCAGGAGAGGGAGAAGCAGGCTTCCCGCGGAGCAGGGAACCGGAAGCGGGGCTCCATCCCAGGACCCCGGGACCATGACCCCAGGCAAAGGCAGATGCTTAACCCGACTGAACCACCTAGTCGCCCCCTAAGGGACTATTAGACATCCAATAAAAACTGTCCGGGCGCCTCGGTATCCATGCTTCCTGCAGCCACAATTCTGAGCCTGGAGACTTTGTCTTAGATCCAAAAAAAATCCTTGCTTACTTTTCTTGTTTCCCTCCTAACTGAAGAGGGCGAGCAGACTCTGAGCCCCTGGTTTCCTGGTGATGACCAGGGGAAAAAGAGGATGGTCTCTCTTGGGTTCCTGTCTTCATCCTCCTTTTGTTGGTGGCAACAGTCTTCGCTTGGATTTGATTTTTCAGGGAAGCAAAGCATACTGTCCATAGGGGAGTTTTGCCCTGCCGTACATCGGCTAAAATAGTGGTTCTCCAAGGTGAATGTGGGTTGGAATCTCCTGGAGGATTTGTTAAGACTGTGGGACTGCACTTGCAGAGTTTGAGTCAATAGGTCTGGGGTATGGACCTAGAAATGTGCATTTCTAAGAAGTTCCTAGGTGCTGCTGGGCTGGGGGGTGGCCCTTTGAGAATCACTGGCCTGAACAATGAGCCTCAAGCAAGACTATAAGGACAAACTCTGGCCAGACAGGAAAATGCAGAAAATCTCATCCATGATCATGCGCTTCGTGCTTCATTGACATGGGTGCCTGCAATTTTTTCCAAGGAAGACTTTGTGACTTGATGATTTCCACTTGCAGAACCAGTTGAACTGGATATTTATTATCAGATATTTACTTGGACCAAAGAAACATAGTTAAAAACTCTGTAAAAAGAGAAGATGATGGCACCCTGCCTTCCCTGCAGGGGTAGTTCCCTTAAACCCGCTCTTCATGGATCTGTACCGCGGACTCCTATTTGGACCAAAAGCAAAACAAGGGAACGCATGGTCAGAACTCAGCCGTGGCCTCTTCCCTGCACTCCCATCCCCCACCCCGCTCTCCCCAAGCTCTCTGCTTACACCTGATTTCAGAATCTTCTATTCCACCACTGAAGGTAGTTGCTAAGGCATATTGTTAATATAAATCGATTTCAAAATCAATGGCCAATGGTAGGTCCTAATGTTAAATTATTAGGTTATATTCATTGAAAGAAATGACAACAATGGGGAGAGTTGATGACAGCATCAAAAAAACTTTAACACAGTCCCAAGAAGACCAACACTGGTGTCTTTGGAGAAACATCCTTTGTGTCCCTGATGCTGCTCACCAATGGCCTTTGGCTTAGCACTGTCTCTCTGTGCAATTGTAATTAAAACCCAGGTGGCTGGTTTTGATCTTGAACTAGGATGGTCATTGCCAATAAGAGTTCCTGTGTAGGAGGAAAACTCCTCATCATTCCCTAGCAGGACCTGCAGAAGGAGGATTTATATCCAGTGGATTCTGTATTTCAGTGGTGCTAAAAGTCACAATGCTTTGCACTGTAACATCCTGAAATCCAGATACATCTTAAGGCGGATGGCATTTTATAATCACGGTTGGCCAAGTGGGGGTCAAGATGTGTTGTCAGTGCCTGAACATGCACGAACTCAGTGGGTAATCCTGGTGGAATGACTTGGCACCTGTAATCTCCATGTTTCTGTCAACAAATCCCCTAAGGACTGTCTGGAAAGGAAACATGATGCCTATTGTCTGAAAACTTTCCCTTGCAACTTTCAGGTAACATCAAGAACGTGCCAGCATCAGAATATGTACACCAGGTTTGGAAGCATTCAGGAGTGAAGTGAAATTAAAAAATGCTGCATCACCAATGCCTGGTAATTCACAACACGAGGACACCAATGACTCAGTTGAAAAATGACTAAGAAAAAGAATAGAGGTTCTGAGTGGGATTATAGGAATTCCTTAATAAGTTTATTAAGGAATAAGTTTATTGTGCTTATATTTTCCTTTTTATGTACACATAAGAGTGATATAAAATAAGTATGTCTAAGTCTAAAAGCTCTCATTCAATAAATACTTAAAAAGTCTAAAAGATAAAAAACATTACAAAGAGTTTTGGGGCACCTGGGTGGCTCAGTCGTTAAGTCATGATCCCAGGGTCCTGGGATCGAGCCCTGCATCGATCAGCCCTGCTCAGCGGGGAGCCTACTTCTCCCTCTCCTACTCCCCCTGCTTGTGTTCCCTCTCTTGCTGTGTCTTTCTCTGTCAAATAAATAAAATCTTAAAAAAAAAAAAACATTACCAAGAGTTTAATTGGGTATATCTTTTTTTCCAATAGCAGCTCTCAACCTTTTTGATCTAAGGACTCCTTTTATACTGGAGATTGAGGATCCTAAAATTCTTTCGTTTATGTGGTAATATCAGTCAATATTTATCATATTCAAAAAATTTTTTGAGACAGAGATAGTGCATGTGTTCGTGTGAGAGCAGGAGGGGTAGAGGAAGAAGGAGAGAAATCTTAAACGGGCTCCATGCTCAGCTCTGAGCCCCATGTAGAGCTTGATCTCACCACCCTGAGATCATGACCTGAGCCCAAACCAAGAGTTGGATGCTTAACAGACTGAGCCACCCAGGCACGCCTCATATTCAAAATTTAAAGAGACTTTTAATACCATAGAACACGCAAGCACAGATTCTATTAGCTGTCAGAGAGATAATGGTATCACCTAGCCTCTGAAAAGCTCCAATGTGTACTGGTAAGAGAATGAGATCCAAAGGGGCAGATCATGTTGCTGTGTTCACAGGAAGAGAGTTTTCACCTTGAGGATCCTCCAAAAGGGGAACCCACTTTGAGAATCACTGGTATATAAAATAATGGTGTGTTTTGGGCGCCTGGGTGGCTCAGTTGGTTAAGCGACTGCCTTCGGCTCAGGTCATGATCCTGGAGTCCTGGGATCGAGTCCCACATCGGGCTCCCTGCTCAGCAGGGAGTCTGCTTCTCCCTCTGACCCTCTTCTCCCTCTGACCCTCTTCCCTCTCATGCTCTCTATCTCTCATTCTCTCTCTCTCTCTCAAATAAATAAATAAAATCTTTAAAAAAAAAATAATGGTGTGTTTTACACCAGTAGAGTTAATACAGACATGTTTCCACCTTAAGTACTGGAAGGAGTAGAACGTGGAAAACTGGTGTTGGACAATTGGGAGTGCTGTGAGGCATGGAGAAATTAGCTGATTAAATGTCCTCTGTGGCTGTGAGGACTATTCCCCCTCCCATTCAAGTGGCCAGCTCACACTGGGTGTCCTGCAGGCCTGAGTCATTCCGAACTTAGGAGAAGGTACCCATGGACCTGGGTTCCAGGACGGTGGAACTGGCTGTCTAGGAGGAGGACAGAAGTTGGGACAGAGGAAAGAAGGAGTGTGGTTTGCTCCCCAGGGGAAGAAAGCTGGATTTTTCTGGAGACAAACAGAGGAGCTAGGGTGTGCAGTTTCTGGAGATCTGGGGAGGCCTGCAAATGGCCGTGTGGGTATCTGCTGATGGACACTGGGGCGCCAGCCAGAGTTCCCCTGGACAGTCAGGCCTAGAGAGGGCAGTGCCTGGGGAGCTGCTGGCCTTCAGAACACCATGCAGTTTCGAGCAGGCAGAGGCTAGTGCCAGGCACCACAGATTGCTGACCAGAAGCTCCTTCTGCCACTGCCACTGTCCTGACCTGGTAATCCTCAAACCCCCACCCCAGTGTTGGCTTTAGAAACTACAGTAGCAAAGTAGTCACCAGCAGGTCTGAGATCACCGGCATGAATTTGATTTCTAGCGCTGCCTTACAGGCTGGGATGGCATTGTCAATAGAACCCACTTGGCAGGATTCCCCCCGCCCCCCCAACAGCAAGGAAGTGATGCGTGGAAGCTCCTCAAACAGTGCCTGGCATCATAAATGCTGTACATATCATCTCTTGCACTTTGGATGTCCTGGAGATGTCATACCTGCCACACCGTGTCCTCCGAGTGTTGCTATGGCTAAAGTTTCACCCTCTGTTTAACTGATTAAAGCCCTAAGGCTGGAGTCCAGGGGACCAAGAGCGTCCTGGAAATTGCAGAAGTGCTCTACTGAACAGAGGGTGGCAGAGGCTGTGTGTGTGTGTTGCGGGGGGGAGCCATAGAGCCGGCCACTCCAGCCTGCAAGGTCTTCCTGTTCTAGCCCATGGCACTGGGTCCTGCCAAGCAAATCCTTACGGGCTTCGGAGGGACTGAGGGCTTTTCTTTGAGTGTGAGCACGGGCGTCCCACGCAGGGCACAGCCAGATCGGTGCAAACTCCCTCAGAGTCCACAGGGGCCTGGATCCTCCGGGGGGGCGTGGGGGGGAGTCGTGGCGCCTGTGAGTCTGAGCCGGGGAGGTGGGCGTGGGCAGGCATAGGCACGCACCGGGCCGGGCCGTCAAGGCTTCTGCCACCTGCCGTAGCCCGTAGCCAGGGTATCTGGACTTGCCTGGAGCTCTGTCCCCGCTTCCGGACTGCCCCTCTTCCCATATGCGTCCCGCCCCTCGGGTGGGCGTGGCCTGCTCCTACCCTCGCCTTCCCCTCCAGGGGGCGGAGCTGGGGGAGGGGTCCACGAGCGAGTCACGTCCAACAGGCGGAGCCGAGCACTAGGGGGCCGGCTGGGGAGGCGGCACATCCGGCGGCTGACTCGTCGTGTATAAAGCCGAGGCCGCGGCAGGCAGCGTCCAGCAGTAGCCCTGGGCTCTTTTCGGCTGCGGGAGCCGCTGCTCCAATGCCCCACAGCGGCCATGAGCATCCCACACTGGTGGGACCAGCTGCGGGCCGGCAGCTCGGAGGTGGATTGGTGCGAGGACAGCTACACCATCGTGCCTGCCATCGCCGAGTTCTACAACACGGTGCGGGAGCGGGAGCAGGGATGGCAGGCGGGCTGGAGGGAGGGGACCGCCCCTAATCGTGGCTGCGCCTGGAACCTGGACGTGGGTCTCTGTGTGTATTTGGGGTATGCTCTCTCCAGGGCCAGAGTCGATCTGCGCGCCCCCTCCTCTGCGCTCCTTCTAGCTCTCCATCTGTCCTCTTCTGTCCCTATCCCGACATCTGGGCTTATCCTCCCCTTGTCATTTCCGTCTGATGGCTCTATTGTCTTGTTTGACCGGCACCTGTCCCGAAGCCCGTGGTCCGTGTCAGCCCTTCGCCCAGGTGGGTGACTCAGGGGCTGGTGAACCCGCCGGGACAATTCCCTTCCTCCCCTAGGATCTCTGTGGCGTGACGCACTTGGGTCGCATTGTGCGGTTTCTCCCTGAATACCTGCTGGGGGGGGAGTGGCGGGAGGAGGGAGTCCCCGGGCAGGTCTCAGGAGCAGGGCCCACTGCTGCCGTGCTGACTGGCCCCGCCCCACTAATACACCAATAATAGGTCCAGTTACTTTTGGCCAGAATCACGTTAATTGCTACTAGTTCCTAGTTCTTTGCCTTTGGTTACCAGGCTCAGTCCAGCCCGCAAGTCAACTCCCCCAGGCCCGTGCCCTCTCCAATGATTAAGCCTGGGGAGTGAGCGGGAAGTTTGGGAGTGATTGTGTGCGTGTTTCATGGGCTTGCCTCGGTCCCTGCTACGGGCAGGCTGAGACTTCCCTACTGCAGTAGCCTGTGTGCTGTTAGTATTTATGGGAGGGAAAGCTTGATGCTGGCAGGAAATGCCTCTTCTTTTCGCTGTGCGGTGGCTCCGGGTTCTCAGACCAAGTAGAAGACTCTGCATGGTCATTTCTGCGGCTGCCCAACCACACACAGACACAAACAGGAACTCCTGGTTTACAAGTCACTGTGAATTTGAGGTTGTTCTTTCGGATTTTCTCCTTGGATTTGCTGGAGAGAATATACTTGGCATGAGTCCGTCTGGAGGGATCTCCGATGAGCTTATCCCAGCCCTTTCATTCATTGATGAAACTGAACTGTAGAGAAGGGAGCGGTCATACTCATGTTTCCGGCACAATCCAGAAGTCTGCGCTCTCCCTCCTTCTGCCCTCACAAACACTCCTGCTTCTTAATTAGGACCAGGTTAGTTCTTCAAGAAAACCTGGCCCTCTGCTGTCTATAGATCCTGTGAAAGACTAGTGGAGGTGGCTACAGCTCACCTGTTGAACCCCTTCTTTCAGAGTTTACTCTTAGGGGTAGACGTGGGGGCGGGGCACACAGGATGGGCTGGGGATGGCTGGATACTTTCAGTAGCCGTAACTCATATTCTCCTTTTATAAGGTGGAGAGTACTATTAAGGATTTCACCAGAGAGTTAAGGAACAAATGACAGGCTGGGGACAAGTTCTCACACACCCAGCAAGGTAATGACCTGTGGAGACCGAGGCCAGCTGAAAGTCAGGCCTGGTTCCTTGGCCAGAAGTTCATTTATAGCTGTTCTGTGCCTGTCTTGAAAAGCCCCAGAGTGCTGGACGAGGGGGGAAGACTTTATGTTATTGCTACTTTTAATCTAGTCCCTTTGGAGCTGTTGTGGAGTGAGTGCCAAAGTTTTTTTTAGAAACGAAGTGTTGCTCTTCTCTTGCAGTGTCTTTAGGTGATTAGCCTGGTTGGTCCTCCTGACAGGCCTTATTCTTTGGAATACTCCTACAAACCACAAAATTTGCTTTAGCCCCACAGAGAGCTTTAAAGCTCAGAGCAGTAGTTGGTCACCTAACTTTGTTGAGTCTAGGTCCAAAGAGCTTAGCAAAAACTGTTTCCTTCTCTCTGTTTCCATGCCCTACTTATTTCTGAAGCTTATCATAGGACAAACGCATGCTTATCCTTCTCTCGTATTGAGGAAGACAGTCAACTATTACATGGTGATAAACAGCTCATTAAATCCTCATGGGAAGGCCGCAGATCTAATTATCCATTTTAGAAACATCATTACTAATTTTGAGGAAAAGTTTAAGGAACTGAAGATACACAATCAGGGTAGGACTGGGAGCGGGATCCAGAACCTTCTTAAGCGGTCTTGGGGGTAGCACATCACTACTACAACTTCAGTCACTACTGGCTACCATGCATTGTTTGCTAGGTGTTGAACCTCTGCTGCATAGTGTACAATCACCGTCAGTGGTGGGCACTCATTATTAGATCCACTGGATAAAAGGAAGAAACCAGGGTCTGGAGAGATGACGCAATTTGCCGAGGTCAAGAAAATGGCAGAATTAGAGTTAGAACTCAGTCCATTTGACTCTACAAAGATACTCCTCCTGAAGACGCAAATGCCATATAGCTCCTTTTGACTTCTTTATTCTCCACAGCACAGCTGTTTATGATTGAGCCATTCTTTAACTGGAAACTCCTGCATTGGGACCATATGAACCACAGGATAAAACTCATGATGTTGGATATGAAAAAGTTTGTTTAGTTTTTTGTTACAGTTGTCTGTATTTTAAAATGTTCACCTTAAAAATAAAAGTTACTTTACCAGCAAACATGGGCTTATTTCGGAAGAAGAAAACTGCCATTCAGGACAAGCAAGCTATAGGAAAGCCATGGGCAAGACCAACAAAGGAGAGGAATGTTATCTTATGGAAAAGGAGGAAGTGGGGAGGGGTTGTTTTGAACTGGAGAGTTCAGGGTGATTGTTTCCCATTGGCTGAGTGGCAGGGGTAGTGAATTTCTTGTGGGAGATACAATGTACATCTTTCCCTGTTGGGGCCTGGAATAGACCATTGGTTCCTGTTGGGGAATCTTCTATTGGGTCTGTAATTGATAGTGAGTGGTTGGTATGGGCTTCCCCCTGGAGCCTCCCCTTCTTGCATCTGGAGTCTACTTCAGTGAGGTTTCCACTTACTAATTTTCACAAAGTAGCATGGTCCTGGTAAAAAATTCAGAGTGTGCAAGTTATAAAGTGAAAAATCTGTTTTTGTGTGTCTTTTCAGACCTTTTTTCAGGCATTGTACAAAACACATGCATTTGTGTGAGTATATAAAATACATAATGTATAATGTATACACACAATATCTAAGTTTTTATTTAACCCAGTTGAGATCATACTACACAAGCTCCTCTTGATGTTTTCACTTAATAGATCTTAGAGATGGTCCTATATTGGCTCTGAGTTATTTGCCTCTTTACAATGTCTAATCAGTGTCGCATTTAATGGATTGACCGTGATTTATTCACCCACTCAGTCTCTTATTGATGGACTCGTAGGGCAGTTTGTTTTATGCTTTCAATTTGGTTTCTGAGCAGTGATGCAATGAATATCCTTACATGTGCATCTGGATGTGCTTACACAAATACGAATCCTCTAGAGTGAATTGCTAGGACAAGGGTAGTGTTTACTCAAAGACTGATAATTATTGCTAAATGGCCCACCAGAGAGAGTACCCTGGTTTATACTCCCACTGACAGTGTTTGGGTGGACAAAGCATTTTGCTTTGGGGCCCTGCAAATCTCTGTTGCCTCAAGACTTGTCATCATCCTTTGCTTCAGCCAAGCCCAGATCTCCCTTCCAAGAACATGTCATGTTCTTCCACCGCCTTTTGCTTCTGCACATTTTGTACTGTTTCTTCCACATACAAATTTTATTGACTTGAGTTCCTTTTTATGTTTTAAATTGCCAGGCTCTAGTCACACTGAAGAGAAGAACTCTAGAACGCAATGCTTTAGAGAAAAGTAGCATCTGCTTTTTAACCACTGGCTTAGCTTTTGGGGACTCTGTTGCTGGGCAGGGACTCAGGGGCTCAGGAGGAAATCCACTGGTGCTGAAAAAAAGTCTTGAAGCAAAATATATGCATAAAACCAGCCCATGATCTGTCGCCGTTTCCCCATCAAGATAAGGAAGTTCTGATATGCTAAAGCCCATGTCCCTGTAGGGCAGAATGACCTATATCCTGTCTCTGTTCATCTCTAGATCTGTCTGTTTACTGGGCAGCTGCCGTGTGCTTGTCACAGAGACCAGACCTGCAAACAGTCATCTGGGTGGTGACGGCCAGACCAGAGAGGTGTACAAATTGGCAAGGGTATTATTAGTATTCTGCACGGGCTTGGTGTACTGTGGGGGAATTTCGCAAGAAGTCTTCTGAGTGGGGTGGCCAACTTGTCCTGGTTTGTCCAGGCCTTGCCCGATTTTGAAGCTGAAAGCCCCATGCCCTGGGGAACCCTCCTCAGTCCCAGGCTGGCCAGGACAGTTGGTCATCCCAGAGGAAGGAGGGGAGCAATGGAATGGAGGATTAGAAATCTGCATACAGTCAAGATGCACAGACCACCTACCCAGCCAGGAGAATACCCCTTAGCTGTTTCTGAACCTCCTGTTCAGAAAATCTTACAGTCTGTTGCTTTGTCAGCATTTATCCTCTGCCTGGGAAAGTGCACACTCCCATGCATTGGGAGGAGATTGCTGTCTGTTCCTGAGATTATTTTGGTGCGATGTTATGGAGGAATTCGTGGAATGAGGAACTTTCTAAGGAAATAATTAATACATTTTAAAATTGCGGTTTCCTTTTAATTAAAAAAAAAAATCTGTTCTGCAGACATTAAGCAAATTAGTTCTCCAAAGCAGTAGGTTTTAAAAAATACCCTTGGCTGAACTATTCAACTTGAGTGACCCACACAATTGTTAGGGGAAGTTTCATTTCTCAGAAGAGATGGAGCCACTAAATGTGTGTTTTAACCAGGACTTGTTTGCTTTTCTGTATTTCTTTCGGAGTTCCTTCCTCTTTTTGTGTTGGGGAGAGAGAGTCTCCCTCTGATTTGGTCTTTCCCTTTTCATAGATGGAGGGCTTTAAAAGGTATGGTGAGTGCTGTGAATTGTGTAAGACTGTTGAATCACAGACCTGTACCTCCGAAACAAATAATACATGTTAAAAAAAAAAAAGAAGATAGCAGGAAGGGAAAAATGAAGGGGGGAAATCGGAGGGGGAGAGGAACCATGAGAGACTATGGACTCTGAGAAACAAACTGAGGGTTCTAGAGGGGAGGAGGGTAGGGAGATGGGTTAGCCTGGTGATGGGTGTTAAAGAGGGCACATACTGCATGGAGCACTGGGCGTTATACGCAAACAATGAATCATGGAACACTACCTCAGAACCTCATGATGTAATGTATGGTGACTAACATAACATAATAAAATAAATAAATAAAAGGCATGGTAGAGGCTGGCTGTCATTGGTAGCAGGGCTACAGAGAGGCAATAAGGTGATTTCCCTGTTATCTGGGAGATGTTCAAATGGTGCTTCTAAGTTGAACTCCTTAATATGTGCATTAAGAAAAAAATGTTTAAAGTCCCATGACTTTCCTGCAGGTGTAATGAACAACTTCATGCCTTTGTGAGTAGTGTGTAAACATTTAAACGTGATTAACACAGAAACCAGCATTGCACCGTATGTTACCTAGAATTTAAATACAAATTTGAAAAGAAAAAAAAAGATAGGGAAAAAAGTGAAGAACACAAGTCGACAGAGCTTGTTGGGAGTCGGCTTGGCAGGAGCTGGTTGCACTCGTAAGGGAGATTGCAAGGACTTGAGGCAGTGAAGACAGGGTAAAAGGCAAACCATGTCCTACCCCCGCCCCCGACTTTGTAGGAGGGGCTGTACATTGGGGCTCCTTCCCCTGGGGAGGGACTAGATAAACCGCTCCCACATGTGGCACTTACAGCAAATGAGGTCAATCTATCTGAACTACGGGGAAAAGGCTTGCGTAGCCTATTGTTGAAGGCAGAGTGATGTTATTATATGTGATATATATGTATTCACATAAATGCAAGGAAGATGACTCAAAGGCTGTGAATCAGGATAACCATTATCCCTCGGGAGGAGGATGGCAAGGAGACTTTCAAAAAAAAATTACAGAATGAAATAGGAGAACACATATATGTCTAAGAAAGGAGAAAGATCAGGTTTTGAGTTACCTCTGGTGTAATAATTCCATTTTCCCTTCTCCCCCTTTCCTTCCTTCTCTGCTTAACAAAAGGAGTCACACTTAAATCACATCACAGGTGTGCAATGCAGGGATAAGTCAGGAGTTTTAGAGAACCAGTGAGGAGTTAAGCCAAGGAGGTCAGAGTGTGGCTGGGGGTGGGGCTTGGTGGGGAAAATCAGCTCTGGGCAGGGGAAACCGCTCAGTGCGGGTTGCTGCTCTGTGGGTGATTGCCTTTTTGGCCTCGGCCAGCCTGGGGAGCCCTTCTGGGTGCTCACGCATTGCCCCTTGTCAAACAAGGGCTGGTCTTGAAATGCTTTCATTTTTACTCCTGAAGATCTCTCGTCCTTTAAATGATTCCTTGGAAAATTAAAGGCTGTGATAGTAATAACAACCAACAGCTTACTGCTGACAAGGTACACACATTGGCAGAGTGGTAGAGATACTAGAATCCTTGTACATGACTGGTGGGAAGGTAATATGGTCCAGCTACTGTGGGAAACGGCTTGGCGGTTCCTCATTGAGTTAAACATGGAGTTACCACTGGGTCCAGCGATACCAGCTTGGGCATATACCCAGAAGAAAACAAATCCTCAAAAACGTGTATGTGAATGTTCATAGCAGCCCTGTTCACAACAATCCATCGATGAGTGAACGGAGGAACAATGTGGTTTTCAGATGATGGAATATTATTTGGCCACAAAAAAGCAGGAAGTATTGTACGTGCCACAATGTGGATAAACTGCAGACCCGTTGTGCTAAGTGAAAGAAGCCAGACACAAAGGTCATAGTGTGTGTGATTCCACTTTCATGACATACCCAGAATAGGTCAACTCATAGACACGGAAAGCAGATTAGCAGTTGCCAGGGGCTAGGGGTCGGGGCTGGGGGGGGGGGGGGGGAGGGGAGCGGAAAGTACCTGCTTAATGGGTATAGGATTTCTTTTTCAGGGTGATAAAAAGGTTTTAGAACTAGGCAGAGGTGATGGTTGCATTTAATGGAGGGCATTTAATGACATGGAATTGTATACTCTAAAATGGTTAATTTTATGTGATGTGAATTTTGCCTTGATTTAAAAAAATTGGGAAAACAAAAAGGGGAGCTGGCTGTGACCTCCTAAAAACAAAAAGACAAAAAAAAAAATTAAAAACAAAAACTAGAGGGGAGATTCCAGAGTTACGTGGACCAGTATGGTCATCACTAGGCACCTGTAGTTGTTAAGCATGTGGAATACAGCTGGTTCAGATGGAGACAGGCTGTAAATATGAAGTTCACTCTGGACTTCAAAGCTTTATGTGAACAACAGAATGGAAAATACCTCGTTAATGATATTTAAATAGTGATTAGGTGTTGAAATGACAGTAATTTGAATATATTAGAGAAGATAATATATTTTTGAAAAGCCAACTCCCCCCCCATAACAGGCTTAAATCCATAATAAAATGTGAAAGTTTGATCTTTACCTAAAAATAGATTTGATTAGGGGAAGAAATTGACAAAGGCAGACCCTGGAAACTAGGAAGCATCCTGCCTTCCTGTGGGCGCCGGAGAAAAAAGCTGGCCTTGCTAGCAGAAAATTTGGGGGAGCTGGGATGTCTAGTACTCACCTCCATATTAAGCTTTATTTTTTACCATTACTAAGTGTGGGCCTTACCTTTAAAAATGTATGTGCAAGTAGATCAAAATGCTTCACAGTTAGTCTTGGGCAGAAAAAGAAGAAGATTCTTGGAATCCAGAGAGGGGGCTGGGCAGCTTTCATAGATTGATCATGGGAGCAGCTATTAAAATGCTGCAAAGAGATGGGAAGAATCCCCCGAATGGCCGTAAAGAAGGCTTAAATTTCCCTGTATCTGCAGTTAAAAAAAAAAAGAGATGTAACAGCTTAAACAAGACGTGTGGCCACATTCATCCCAGTTTGCAAAGCTCATATTTGGAACACGCTGCTTTATTTTTTTGCCCCTTTACTTAATATTCATCTTTTCATTTTCCATCCCCCCTCCCTCCCCCCAGATCAGCAACGTCTTATTTTTCGTTTTACCGCCCATCTGCATGTGCTTATTTCGCCAGTACGCAACATGCTTCAACAGTGGGATCTACCTAATATGGACGCTCTTAGTTGTAGTGGGTAAGTGGATTCGTGTTCGAACAGGGGCTGAAAGGGAGGAAATGGAATTCTGCACACTTCCTGTCCTATTTGAACATTATGTTTTGTAAACCAAAGTCACTCTGACGTCTTAGCGAACTTTTATTTTTGCTTTGACGCCAGAAGGAGGACGCTTCTGGACACGGGCTGGACACCAGGGGTGACGCCAGTGATCACTTAATGGCACGTGAGGGCTTATTTCTCTAACAGCTGTGGGGGCTGTGCCAGTGCTATTTTCTGAGGACTTGTGAAGAAAATCACACAAAAGCGATTGAGCTCTGATGAGACTTTAGTGGATCAAAACGAGAAAAAAAAATTCTAGATGTTTGATCCTTCATTGTTCTGGGAAATGCTTGTATAATTTCCATTTCCTTCCACAGGCGGATTGGGAATTCTTAACAGTGAGAGAATGTTGACTTTTATTGAAAGCCTCTTCCCCACAAAGCCTCAGCCTTGTGGTGGAAGACAGAGTGTTTAACTGGCATTACTCAAGCTCTGATGTGCTGATCTTGGGGCCCTGCTTGCAATCCTCTTTCTAGGCTTCAAGGCTGCCTGTCTGGGTGGTGTGTGTTTCCTCCTTCAGCTGCTTCTTTCAGTGAGAGTGTGATCTGGTGATTGTGACCGTGGTTGGTCGAATGGCTGGCGTTCAGCAGTGTGTTGGATTTGTGGGTCTGTTCTTCGGTGGTGACTTTTTTTTTTTTTATTGGTTGTAATTGATTCTAGGAATTGGATCCGTCTACTTCCATGCAACCCTAAGTTTCTTGGGTCAGATGCTCGATGAACTTGCAATCCTTTGGGTTCTGATGTGTGCTCTGGCCATGTGGTTCCCCAGAAGGTATCTACCAAAGGTCTTTCGGAATGACAGGTAAGCTTGTGTTAAACAGTTATGTATTTACTGCTGAGTGCAGCACACCCAACATCTCCATGTATGTATCAGGAAAACAGCACACAATGGCGCCTCACCTTAGGATGAGTTTATCAGATACTTGTTTAATATCCACTGATTGTTTATGCTTTTAGACCGTACACTGATGAAAGAGGGAATTTTAATATGCTTGGCGAAGAATTTATAGGATATTAGGGGTAAACAGTCAAATGTCTCCCTTATAGGATATGAACAAAAGTGGAAAGATTTTCAGTGGGGGAGAAATTACTGAATGGTAGTTCAGAGACCTTTGATTTTCTGCTAGAACATTTCCTTGAGTCCAATCCAATTCTACCATTTGATAAGTTTCTAGAATTCCATTAAGGAATTGGTTTTTGTAGCTGTAGATCCCATGGTTGTCAAATGGTATTGGTTTTACCTCTGCTGAGATCTACACACACACACACACACACACACACACACACACACACACACACACACACACACACACACACACACACGCCCGCCCGCCCGCCAAGCTGGAAAACCAGAAGTTCAGGAAGGGATGCTTATATTCATCCAGTAAATATTTTTTTGAACACTTACTCTGCATTTTTTCCAGACACTGGGATATAGCACTAAACAAAACAATAGAGCCTCTTCCTTTAGTGAACTCATACTGAAGTTGGGGAGGCTACGAATCAATGAACAAACAAACAATACAATGTTAGGATAAGTGCTATGATAAAAAAAGCTGGAAAGGAGGTAGAGGTGACATAGGGTGCTCATTTGGAGTTTGGTCAGGGAAAGCCTTTCTGAGGAGCTGTATGAGGTTTGTTAATATCTGAAGGAACCGAGGAGAGTCAGCCTCATAAAGATGAGAAACGCTCCTAGAACATATGACCCACACATATTTCTCTGTAGGACACTGTGTTTTATATGGATCCATATTTTATATATGGATAAATAGTCTAAAAACATGGATTCAATTAAGCAAGCTGTGGGTACCCAGGCAAGAGCTGTGCTAGGAAAATAAAGAATTCCCTAGTTTTCCTGGTACCGTGGATAGGAATAGGAATTTTGGAGCTATTAAAGACAAAGGCTGTTCTCTATGGATGGAGGTGGGGAAGTGTCCATAAAATATGCTGGCTGCCAAGAGCACATGGTAGAACTGTGTGTGGGATAGCATAACTGTGGAATGAATTAACTAATCTGCTTTCGCGTCTAGGTCTTTGTGTGCGCATAGAAATACCTAGTCGAGGAGGATAAACAGCCACTATCATTGGCTATTCTTAGGAATGGGGAAGGGGGCGCCTGGGTGGCTCAGATGGTTAAGCGTCTGCCTTTGGCTCAGGTCACAATCTCCAGGTCCCGGGATGGAGCCCCACGTCGTCGTCGGGCTCCCTGCTCAGCAGGGAGTCTGCTTCTCCCTCTTCCTCTGCTCTCCCCACTGCTCCTGCCTCTCTCTCTCTCTCTCTGTGTATCTCTCTGTCTCAAACGAATAAATAAAAAATTCTTAGCTGTAGGACCCCGAACCCAAATGCTCCTGCAGCAGCCCCTGGAACGAGGCCCCGCAGGTTGGGCCCAGCGTGACCCACGGGCCGCGTCGGGGACGCCCCGAGCCCAGGACGTGAGCTCCCCTCTCCGAGGAGCTGTGCCCATGAGCACCAAGCGGCGCCTAGAGGAAGAGCAGGAACTCTTTCGAAAACAGTTCCTTTCTGAAGAGAACATGGCCACCCACTTATCTGCACTCAGCCTGCACAATGACCACCCTTACTGCAGCCCCCACTCAGGAGCCCTTGCTCTGAGCTGCTTCTCTCGCACTACCCTGGGAACCTGATCCCTGAGGCCCTCCGGCTCCTGAGGCTAGGGGACACCCCCACCCCCCACTACCCTGCAACCCAAGCTGGGGAGATAAAGATAATGGAGAGCTCTGAGTGCTGGTGGGCAGTCGTTCTGCCCACCTTCCTTCTTCCTCACAACAGAGAAGACCACCATCCCCACTAAGGAACCAGGTGTCCTGAATATTCTCCAGACCAGGCCTCTGGGCCCCAGGACCTACCCTCAATGGAGGAGGACACTGAATCCCACAGAGCCCTGGGGGGGAGGGGCAGGAGGGACAGGAGCACGGGAAGGGAGGCATCCCCTCCTCAGAACTGAATAAAGATTGCTGAGCATATGAAAAAAAAAATTTCTAAAAAAAAAAAAAGGGAATGGGGGAGGGAGTGGGGGAGAGAACTTCCACTTTTACCTTTAATCTATACTCTTGTGCAGGTTTGTTTTTTAAACAAAGAGCACATGTTACTTTTTAATACTAGAAACGCGTTTTTCAATGAAGTAGGGAGAAAACATACTTCAGATGAACCAGCTGTACCGTCTTCTCTGTACAGAGCAGGGTTTGAATTAAATAGTGTTTTCTTTGACTGTCATTGAGCAGATAAAGGATCCTCAAGGTTACTTATCCAAAAAACGAGAGTGAGAGAGCCAGCAGTTGACAAGAGGTGACAAGAAGGGCATTCCCGGCTTCAGGAGAAATACGGTCTCCGTTGGCTGTGGGCTTCTCCTCAGTGGAGGAAGGAGGCTTCAGCGCGTGGCAGGTTGGCTGGGGCGGTTTAGTGTCTAGTCTTGTGCTTGCTTGTCCGGCTTCCGGATAATGACTGGGAGTGCTTAGAAAGCCTCATGAGGTGGAGAAGGGGGGCAGCGCCAGGCAGGGTCAGGAGGGGCTTCGCAGGAGGGGCTTTTGGGCTCTGGCTGAGAAACATCGTTTACCTTTGGCCTGTCCTGTCGAGTCAGAGGGTGGCCACCAGTCACCTCCATCCCTGCCCGAGCCTGGTGGGTGGTAGGTGGAGAGCTGAGGAATCTCTTTGCTCTTAGATCTGATCTTTCAAGTCCCGGGAGCTGAGTGAGAAGCTTCACACAGGAGAAGAATGGTTTTGTTCTTGGCACTCTGGAGGTGCCACTTGAAATTCCAAGCGACAGTTTTGTGTGTGTTCATAGTAAAGAATCTTTTTCTTTTATTTTCTTTCTTTCTTCTTCTTCTTCTTTTTTTTTTTTAAGTAGGCTTCACACCCAGCATGGAGCCCAACACAGGGCTCGAACTCATGACCCCGAGATCCAGACCTGAACTGAGATCAAGAGTTGGATGCTTAACCACAAACTGAGCCACCCAGGCTGCCCCTGTCTTTTTGATTTCTTGAAGGGAGGGGTGAGGGAATGTTATGAGCAGGAGAAAAGAAAATGGGGCAATGGATGTAGTTATAAAGCTTACCAACTTTAATAATGAAACCGTACCGTGGGACAGAGAGGTGACCACTTAGGACTTTTTTTTATTGCCGGCACCATTTCTCTGGGAAGACGTGACCATACTGTCTTCAGCTCGGAGAGAGTCGTTTGGAGCCCTGAGCACCACAGATGTCTATGTCCCTGGTTTTGGAGACTCCCTGGGTTTGAATCCTAGCTTCCCTGCTTACAAACGGTGTGACTTGTCTTGACTCGTTCATTTTCTGTTTCGTCATTTGTCAAATTAGGTAAATAATCGTCTCTTGAGAGGATCCTGCAGCACACTGTAGAGTGTTAGAAACATGGCGAGTGCTCAGCGTTAGCTTCCAGTACTGCCAATGACACATGGAGATTTCTGCCTGGCATTTCTGAGACACACACACACACACACACACACACACACACACACACACACACACACACACACACACACACACTGAAGGAGAGAATGGGAATGGGAGATGCGAATGAAGATAAGGCATGTTATGGGAAAGTAGCACACTATAAATAAGGATTTCAACTCTATTTCTCTGCCTTCAACTTGCCAGTGACAGGGACAACAAGAAGACAAAACCCCTTTTTGTGGGCCTCATTGCCCAGGACGGGGACAGGTGCAGCTCTGAGTCCAAGTGGCAGCCAGAACAAAAACTTCATGGCAAAACGAGGATTTCTCTAGACCAGGGATCGTGTGGTTTACCTATCCAAGTTAACGTCTCTTTTTGTGGTCTAGACTTTGCTGGAATATTTCTAAAAACACATTAAAAGTAGTTCCAGTGTGAGATTCCTGGAGAAGGGGCAACAGAGCATGGTGGCTAAGTGTATCAGACGGACATGGCTTTGGGTAATAGGGTTTGTTTGTTTGTTTGTTTTTTAAAAGCTCTGGTTCCTCATTTTGCTCACCTGTAAACTGCAGATATTGAGTATCTTATGGGGTTGGAAATATAGGGGGACATCCTAGAAGGTGTACAGTGTCTTGTCCAGAGTAAGGACTCAGTAAGGGCTAGCAGTTGTTAAGAATAGCTAATATGGATGAGTGTTTTGAAGAATGTCTAGAACAGCAGGGAAATTATTAAAGTTTACCATATAAATAGGAATAATTGGCAAGTCAAAAAAAAACCCATTTTTTTATCTTGCCTAGAATGTCCTAAGAATCATCATACTCTCAGCTGCTGATGGTTATTAATAATTTTTAGACATTTTTGAGGGAAAAAAAAAACCTAAGCATAAAGAACTATGATGGACTAATTGTTTCCATTTCTTAAAGATTTATCCTGCTGTGATTTTTATGATTTTGCCTTCACTTTATAATCCAATTCAGGTTTTTAATCCTGAGTTACCAGGCTGGGGTCTGGCCATCCTGCTCTAGCTGGATGACTGGGGGCCGGGGCCTTAGACTCCCTGGGCCTTATCAGTTCCTTACTTAGAAAAGGACATGGGTGGACCTTCCAGGATCAGATGCTGTAATTCTGTGACTATCATGGGCTAGTTGTTCTACATAGGTTAGGTTTTAGTCCTAAAGTGTGGTTTAAAGCAGTGGATCCTAACCAGGGTGTCCCTTGAGGGTACCTCTGGGAAGTTTGTGGACAGGTTTTTGGTGGTTACCATGAAGGAGGTTTTATTATCCATAAAATACATTTCACTTCAGAAGAGTAAAGGGGGCTTTACCAGGTATTTGCTATAGAAAAGGAGTACAGGGTCTGGCAGGGTTGCAAACCTCTGCTTTAAAGGGTGTCTAATGGTAACAGCCATAGCAGCTTTGTTACGTTATGTTGATGGTGTTGGGCTGTTTTGATTTGGGGGAATTGAGGAGGACTGGGTGATTGGGGTTCCCTGACCTGGTGTTGCAGTTTGAGCCCATAATGGGCTGGAAAGTGGAGAACACGACCAGAGACCAGGGGTTGCCTGGTGTCACTGATAAGACAACACTCTGTCAGAACCCTGTGCTCCTGGACATGGCCAGCTCTCTTGTCCCCAGGACCTCTAGTGACTCTGGGGTCGGCCGGTCTGGCTCTGTGACTTGTGTGGACTTCTGCTGGCTGAGGTTTTTGTCTGCTCAGCCACCTTCCTGAAGCGCATTCCTCCACACCCTCTGGACCGACATGGGCGGCGTATGCCTCTGTTCTCCTTAAAGTGAGTTTTGTCAGGCTTGCTGCCTTTGAATTGTTTGGTAATGCCCTCCGGAGTCTTTGGGGATTGCCACACCAGCCCCGTCAGGTTTTCCCTGAGAGCAGCTATTATTCACAATAACATTATTTAAAATAGCACTTATTCTCACACAAGGGGAATGATAACAGTAATAGTGGATTTTTATTAGCACAGGACCGTGTACCAGGCACCATGTTAAGTGCTTTAATGCTTATAGGAACACCATGGGGTAGGGGGTCTTCATTTTCATATGGGAAACATGAGGCTTGGAGGGTTTCGGGACTTGATGAAAGGTCCCATGGCTACTAAGTGATGGAAGCAGCAAGTGAGCACATATCTGTTAGCTGGAAAACCTGTGCTTACATCACTGTTGCCCTCACTCCTGAACCATTGATCTAGAGAAGTAATGCAACTTACAAGGTTTTTGTTTGTTTGTTTTAACTGTTCATCCAATCTAAAAAGGCTGAAAAGCCTTTGTACAGGCACCTCAAAACCCAGTGAAGGAGTTATTGTGGGTCCCCAAGGGCCATTTGCATGACGGGGATGGGGGAGGGGAGCTGCGGGCCATCCTCAGGCTGGAGCAGGCAGGCTTTCCTCCAGTGGCGAGGGATGCCAGCCAAGGCCAGGAGGAAAACAATTCTCCTGAGGATTTGCTGCCTGGACCCTTTCCCGCATACGTATTTTTTCTCTGGTTGAAGTTCAGGGCTACACTTCCTGTTCATTCCAGTCAGAAAGTTGGCAGCTCGATCAATGATTTCCTGCACCTTGATGATAAATGGTTTTCCTCTTTAAGAGATAAATTTGTATTTTGGAGGTTTCAGTGTACTTTGATTTCTCTATAATGGAATTTCATTCAGATGAGTTTCCCAACTGTGACCTGTTCCAGGGCTTTTGGCCAAGGTAAATTGTGCTAATGAGGAATAAAAGAAACTTCAAGAAAATCATGTGCTCCTAAATTTCAGTCATGGATGAGGCCTTGGGGATCATCTAGTCCAGCCTTTTCACTTTATAGATAAGGAAATGGAGTCCCAGGGAGAGAAGAAGGAGAATGTCCAGGATCACGTCGCCACTTCTGGCTCTTTCTCCTGAAAGTACATCCACTGAAGGGTGTGAGGATGGTATTTTTCTTGTTTCTTTTTTCTACAATTTTATTTATTTGAGAGAGAGAAGGTGAGAGCAAGCACATGCGTGTGTGGGCACGAGTGGGGGGAGGGGCAGAGGAGGAGGGAGAGGGGCCAAGCAGGCTCCCTACTGAGCATGGAGTCTGATGTGGGGCTCGATCTCATGACCCTGAGATCATGACCTGAGCTGAAATCAAGAGTTGGCTGCTTAACTGACTGAGCCACCCAGGTGCACTGAGGATGGTATTTTTCCAAGATCTGTCATGTCAAAAACTTGTCAACACAAAATTCCAATGCACGCTAGTCTGAGTTGCCAGTAAATAGACGGTCTTAGAATTTATTCTTAAGACTTTTAGCTATATGTGCTAGACACAGATTTTTTTTTAAGATTTTATTTATTTGACAGAGAGCACAAGCAAGGGAGGTGGCAGTGGAGGGAGAAGAAGAAGCAGGCTCCCTGCTGAGCAGCTAGCCTGACATTGGACTCTATCCCAGGACCCTGGGATCATGACCTGAGCCAAAGGCAGCCACTTAACTGACTGAGCCACCCAGGCACCCCAGATTTTTTCTTTTAAGCTAGGGAGCTTTGTGGTTTGTAAATGGTCCCTGTTTTTCTTATAAAAGTCTTCCACGCTCACCTTGTAGAACAGGGGTTGGCAAGCTGGGTCCTGTGAGCCAGATGGGTCCACTGCCTGTTTTTGCAAATCAAGTTTTATTGGTGTACAGCCACGCCCATTCCCTTACCGCTTGTCAACAGGGGCAGACCTAGGGAGCTGCGGAGGTCCTAGGACCTGCAAAACCCAAAACATTTGCACTCTTACCCTTTACAGAAAAAGTTTGCTAGACCCTGCTGTACAAGATCTGAAAAAAGTATAGAAAAAAGTAACACTAAGAAAATAGTTATCCATCTCTGACCCTCGGGGACTGAGATGGATTCTCATTTTACCATTCTCCTGGCTAAATGTTTGTCAAATTTCTGTTATTGCCTAAGCATAAATTGCTAGAAGTGGAATTCCTGAGCCCGTGAGCGTGAGTGGGTTTGAGACTCCAGTACTCGGTGCACAACTCCCAGCTCGCACACTTGTCTGCAGTTCCTGTACTTCGCCAGCATTCACCAAACAAACGAGAGCTCCTTGGCTAACAGTTCGGTTTGCTTTCATTGATTCAGGGGCAGGTTCAAGGCGGTGGTCTGCGTCCTTTCTGCTGTTACGACTTGCCTGGCGTTTGTCAAGCCCGCCATCAACAACATCTCTCTGATGACCCTCGGGGTTCCTTGCACTGTGCTGCTCATTGCAGAGCTAAGAAGGTGGGTGCCTTTTTTTTTCCCACCTGCCCCTTAGGCTGTCCCTGGGTTGGGAACACACCAGCTTCTGTTTTTGTTTTTTTTTAGTTTTATTTGAGAGAGAGAGAGAGAGAGAGCGCGCATGAACAGGGAGAGGGGCAGAGGGAGAGGGAGAATCTCAGGCCGAATCCCCGCTGAGCGCAGAGCCCAACACGGGGCTCGATCCCACGACCCTGAGATCATGACCTGAGCTGAAACCAAGAGTCGGTTGCTTAACCGACTGAGCCACCCAGGCGCCCGGCTTCTGTTTTTTTTACTGCCCTCAAGTGTGGAAGCAGAGTTTGGCTCTTCAGGTAGAGTTAGTTGCTGACTGTTGGATTGGAAACACATTTGATGGTTTGGCTCAAAATGTTAATGATCTCACTTCCAGAAAGAGGGGAGCGGCTAGTTAGTGGATGCAGTGCATCCCAATGATCCGAAGCTAGCTTAGCAGGAACATCTCAAGGACCTGGTGAGTGCCTAGACCAGCCTGTGAGACTTGTTTCTGTACAAGAATAGATTTGTTCATATGAGAAGAATAAGAAAAGTCCTAAAGAGGCCATTGCTTTCACACACAGAAGGAAGAACAAACGTCTCTATACAAGGCAACATTGACTCGAGGCATAATACTGTTGACTGTGCTAGTCTCTCGGACACTTAGTTTCTTATTTGCAACCTATCCGGTAAAGCCTTTGCTATTTGCGTAAGGATTTTCCTTTGGAAAGTTCTATACTCAGCTTCAGGTTGATATCTAGAAACAGTTTAGCCTTGTGTGTACATGACTTCTTCTTTAACCCCAAAATACATCAGACCACTGCCCTTATTGTAGTACTCAGAAAATGTTGCTTTTTCTTTGTGCCCATCTTTAGCAGTGCATTTTAATTCATGACTTTCTCATTGTTACAGTCATGGTGTTTAACCGAAGTCTCATATCTATCTTTCTTTGTGTGAGAGTTGCTCGTGTGTTGACAGCTTTCTCTCAGTCTTTGTTTTGAGAGGAGATACATGGTTCTTCCCACTGCTTTGCCTCTGGGGGCTGCCTTCGGCTCAGGTCATGATCCCAGGGTCCTGGGATCGAGTCCCACGTCGGGCTCCCTGCTCAGCGGGGAGCCTGCTTCTCCCTCTGCCTGCCAC